AAATAGTTGTGGAACATTTTTACCATTATTGAATATAAAAGCAATATCCAACATAAAGTCAATAAGAATTAAAAATAGTTTCAAAATGACAATATTATTACCCTGAAAATTATTAATTATTATTAATATACAATTTTATAATCATATCATTAATTAATATATTACTATTCACCTCTGGATATTTTTTATATGAATACCAAATCAACAATATAATAATTATAATCATAATTGGAATGATTATTAAATAAACTTTATATTCTTCAAACAAATTTCCTATTAAATAAATGTAATCAGTATTAATCACATTATAATATTATTATAAATACTTGTATTATATTTATCTGTTCCTTACTTGTAAATGTAAATCCATGATTCTCGTCAATAAATTTTGTATGATTGTGAATTGAGATCCCAGTAATGAATTTATTTTTGATCAACGTATTTAAATTATCTATGACTTGGGAAACATTGATTTCTTCACTATTATTAGGTTTTAAAATACCAAATGATAGCAACAAAGTTGGTGGCGAAGTTGTGTAATCCATCTGATCTTTGATAAAATTTAAACGAGTTGGATCAATGGGTGTTAAATTGGCTAATCCATTTTTTAAATTTTTAATAAATTTAGATTTATCAGTTGAATCTAGATTATTAAATAAATTTGTCCCCTCTACATTGAGACTTAAGATACCATTTGCTGCATCTAAAGAATTTAATAAAAAATTGTAAATTTATTAATTTAATCCAAATGAATTTATGAAATATAAACAAATCCTACCTGAATATTTAATAGCCACATTATCTTTTAGTTAAAAGTAATAATTTATTAGTTAATTAATAACATTTCAATAATTATATTTGTTAATTAAAAAGATTAAACATTAAAATTTTTTTACTTGTAGTAAATTTCCATATATTTTTATGAATTCCCATCAATGGTTGGTTAGTGGAAGATTTTCTTAATGCACCATCCTCAATTATTACAAAATAGCTTGTATTGGAAAGATTAAGCGTGCTTGTTAATACTTGAATAGTCATGCTTTTTTTATCATCACTTATTTTACAATATGGTGAGTCAGCTGAAAAAGATTGCCTCAAAATATTTTGGTCATCATTATTTATTTGATATATTGATATGCTGTTAATAGATGGAACAAATGGTGTATTATATGTTACATTGATCTCTTTACTTCCTATTTCTATCACTCCATTTATTGGTGGATAAGTTGAATCAATATTTGGATTACTATATCCTTTATCTAATAATTAAATCAGATATTAATTTCATTTTAATTTTATCATTTTACAAAACCACTAATATATAAATAATTTTACCATCAGGCAGAAATCTAGGAACTTTGGTTGAAATTATGTTCCAACTTTTATTATTATTTTTATTTGGTATAATTTCAATAAATGTATTATTTTGTGTAAAGATACCATAATTTCTATTGGTTGCTAAACTTTTACTAAATGGTGGAAGAGTCAAATTACTTGGTAGATCTAATGTTGCATTTATCTTCAAATCATTATCCAGTAAATATCCATAAGTTGTATATTTATTTTTATATGTTTCACTTGGTGAAATAATGTTAAGTAAAAATCCACCATAAAACAGTGTAACTACAAATGAATCAATAGAATCTGAAATTGAAACTTGATCAAAATCTAATGGTTCAGTTCCTGTAACAGCACTAATAAAGAAATAATATTAGATTAAGATAATAAATAATATGTAATAATTATTTTTTATTATATATTTAATAAAAACCTACCCATTTGATAAAAATGAAATTTTCATCCAATAAATTTTTGGTTTTCTTACTTTAGCAAGAGATACAGCACACATAAACCTTGAACTAGTAAGTGCTGAAGCACAAATCAAATAATCAATTGATAAATCTACATCTGTTGTTTGATATATCAAAAATGGTCCAACTATTTCATCTTTGTCAGGATATATTAAAGAAACATATATGGATATTGGTGGTTGATTTGGTTTAATGTTTTTTGTGCTATTGTTATTTTCAGTAATTGTTGTGTTAGCAATAACAAGTCCAAATCCACCATCCAAAGCTGGAAAATGTGAAGAATATAATATAGTATTTCCATATTCAATTGGTGCTTGAGTAATAATTCCAGTTTTCAATTTGGCTATTTCACCATTTTCATTTCTAAAATCTTTAATAATATGTATTAATAATATTTAAATTATTAATAATTAAAAAAAAACAATAATTACGGTGAACTAAAATGGATCCATTGATAATCATTTGAATTTGTTTTGAAGTTACTCATCAAGAATTCCCCATCAAAATTTCCATTCTCTGTAAACATACATGGACCATCAGGTACACCATTAATAGAACTTGATTTGTCTATATAAAATTCGCTGGATCAGATCAATAAATTAGTATAACCATATTTTTGTTTTAATTAATCATGATAAATTATTCTACCTAATGAATTCTCCATTTTGAGTCAATAAAATTCCATAATTAGCAGATGATTTTATATCAGTAGAATTCATATAAACCATCAATGCATGTTTTGGTAATAGTCTATTTATTATTACAGTAAACTTATCCTTTGTTATGACCTGACAAAAATTAAATTCAGGTATTGAGTATGTCTGGATGGAAGTTTCAATTGTTCCATTAGCATAAATAACTCTGATGTAAAAATTTGGTTCAATGCATGTTTCATTAATAGGTTTAACCATATAAATGACTAGGGTTCCATCTCTATAAAACAATGAATTAAATACATGAAGACCAGCTTCATTATCATTGTATGTGGTAATATTATATGAATTTACAGGTTGATAATATAGAACAACTATACAAAAAAGTATCAAAAATACCATTGAACCAAAAATTTTTCCAGCCATTGTTATTTATAAATGGAAAATCCACTAGCAAAGATTATAATTATTCTAATTATTTAAAGGAATGACAAAGGTGTATAAGAAAATATTAGTATTTAATCACGAGTATTTATAATAATAACATACGCGCGATTTTTGTCGTAGTACAGTATAAATGTAACATTTTGAAGCATATGGGGGGTTTGTACTAGGAACATATGGGTTTCAAAAAACTTTTGATTAACATTGTTCGTCCATCATACAAGATGTTGGACTTTATAAATAGAAACAGCCACCGAACGTTGTAAATTGAGTGTTATATTAATATATATATATATAAATTAAAAATTTGAATCGTGCGACTACATATTTTTAAAACTGTATCATTCAAGCTTTTAATGAATGTTTTTTTATATCAAAAGGAACTTTCTATGTAAAGTTGTGGCTATTCGAAAATGTCGTTCCATTTTTCAATTTTGCTGAAGAAAAAATCATTTGGTCATTTAATTGAAACACGAAAATCATTTTTTTTACATGACTCCCTTTTTAAATGGTGGCGTTTTTTTTAAAAAACCAACATAATATTTCAAGTTTTCAAATCTTGATTAAATAATTATGTTTCAAAAAACTAAAGATGAATACACTACTTGGACAAAAGTCGCGTGCACCCTAAAACAAATAAAAATTACATGATAAAAAATAAAAATTAGTCATATTTAAAATATATATGCAAGTTTGTTATATATTGAGCTAATGAATGTCAACACCTATTTATATGTTATATTAATGTTTATTTTTTTTGAAAAGAATGTATAGTGCATCACGTATATCAATCAATTATGGTGTTGGAAAACTTCTTTTTCATATAAACTTTGTAATTAAAAAAATTTTTCTATTTTAAAATAAAATGCAAACCGATAATATATAAATACTGTAAAATAATGATGTAGTGAGTGGATGGATGTACAGGGTTATAATTACTATTATAATCTATCAAATAGTAGTAATGGTATTGACAGTAGAAATAGATATTATTATTCTCATTATGTTTGCCGTTACTATTACACCTTTCAAATTTTCGATTTTTACATAGTATCAACATTATTTTATTGGTGTAGAATTAACAATTTTAATATTGCTATAATTTTTAATTTTTTAAAAAATATAATACATTTAATAATATGGTACATTGATTTTTTAGACAGAATATCTTGAAATGACCCTTTTTTCCCTAATTAATTCACTAATATTATCTTTAATTTTACTATCTTCATCATCATCAATACTCTCGATGCTAATCATTGTTGAATCTTCTTGTATTGGCAATGATGATGATACTTTATTATCCTTAATTTTTATTATTATATTGTATAACCTGGTAATAATGTTAATGGCAATAATAATTGAACTAGTTATCAAAGTTAAAAATGGAATGAGGTCATATGATATTATAGAGTTTTTATAAATAACCTAAATAAAAATAATAAAGGTAATATGTATGTTTAATATTCATATCTAGTTAAGTCATTCAAAAAGTTAATTAATTATAATTTAAATTACTAACCTGAATAATAAATTGTGGTATATCTTCAATTAAAAAACTTGCTAAATTACACC